TATTCTAGCCAGAGGTGGACATACTCGCTATTAGAGACTTTTGTTCACGCTTTGCTGTGTTTCTCAAATGGACCCACTGATAGTGAATTCTCTAGTTTGACCCTATGTCGACCATAATCTGTTCAATAAGTTCTCAGCCCTGTTAAAAATTGAACGTCTGTACTTAGCACGTGCCCATGTCATTGCTTCACAAATTATCTATTGCAAACTTCGATTTCTTGTTTTTGGTTTTGAGTGAGATCAAATTGAACGAGGTGAAAGTTTCTTTTGCCCGTTAGTATATAAACATACATATGGAACTGAATTAAGCAACACTTAATCCATAGACCTATAATTCTGTGAATTAAGAAAACATCATTATTCTGAATGATTTATTAACATTTTGCTTTGACATGGTGTCTGTGTGTAGATATATTCAATGCACGTGCAACAGCGCTCAATGCACGTGAAATGTCATACCTCAACATTGTTGAAATGGAGGTTTTACTGATAACATGTCACACTGTCTCCTTTCAATTTGGATTGAATATTCAGTTCCATGATTGTATATTCCAATATTGAGTTCCATGATTGTATATTCCAATATTGAGCTCCATGATTGTATATTCCAATATTGAGCTCCATGATTGTATATTCCAATATTGAGTTCCATGATTGTATATTCCAATATTGAGTTCCAATATTGAGTTCCATGATTGTATATTCCAATATTGAGTTCCATGATTGTATATTCCAATATTGAGTTCCATGATTGTATATTCCAATATTGAGCTCCATGATTGTATATTCCAATATATTCCAATATTGAGTTCCATGATTGTATATTCCAATATTGAGTTCCATGATTGTATATTCCAATATTGAGTTCCATGATTGTATATTCCAATATTGAGTTCCATGATTGTATATTCCAATATTGAGTTCCATGATTGTATATTCCAATATTGAGTTCCATGATTGTATATTCCAATATTGAGTTCCATGATTGTATATTCCAATATTGAGTTCCATGATTGTATATTCCAATATTGAGTTCCATGATTGTATATTCCAATATTGAGTTCCATGATTGTATATTCCAATATTGCGTACCATAACTGACATAACGTTGAGCGCAATCCTTTCATCGTTTCAAGACAATGTTGAGGCTTGTCAGGCGCTTGGCAACCCACCTGACTGTAGGCGTAGCTGCCGGTGAACATGTAATTGTTGTAGTGCACGAATGTCCGGGGCTTGACCTTCAAATTCCTTCTAAAGCGAAGTAAAACCTCACTCACACAGTGAGTGAGTGAGTGTGCCAGCGAGCGATTGAGTGATTGAGTGAGTGGGTGGTAAATGAGTGAGTGAGTGAGTGGATGAGTGTGCGAGAGAGCGAGTGAGTGTGTGAGTGGGTCGGTGGGTGGGTTTTGGTGAGTGAGTGCTTGAATGGTGAGCCAGCGAGCGATTGAATGAGTGAGTGGGTGGTGAGTGAGTGAGTGAGTGAATGAGTGTGCGAGAGAGCGATTGATTGAGTGAGTGAGTGGGTGGATGGGTGGGTGAGTGAGTGAGTGAGTGAGTGAGTGAATGAGTGTGCGAGAGAGCGATTGATTGAGTGAATGAGTGGGTGGATGGGTGGGTGAGTGAGTGAGTGAGTGAGTGAGTGAGTGAGTGAGTGAGTGAGTGAGTGAGCGAATGAGTGAATGAACACGGTTCTACGCCGCATTTCGTAATTTTCCACCCAGAAAGAATCTTCACAAAAGCTCACTAGATAATCTACGGGATGAGACACATACTCCATGAGCTCAACACCTCGTACAGATCCTGATACACAATGATCCGCCCACAGTCCGTGAAGTGAAGCAATCCCACCTGACCGTAAGCGTAGCTGCCGGTATACATGCTGTTGTTATAGTACACGAATGTCCGAGGCTTGACCTCAAGCTCCATGACCTCTGTGAGGTTACTTCCGCTTGGGTGCATCCTCATCACCCGCCTCTTCTCGTTGAAGTAGAGTCCGGCTGGACCCAGACTCACCGCGAATATATCAGACCCGGTGTACAGCGCCAATACCTTCGACCCATCGTAACTGACGGCGATCAAAGAAGCGTAACATGCGGCATAAACCATCTTGTTTTGGGGGTCTACTGTGATGCTCTGGGGGAACCTTCCAACGAAGGATTCGTTGACGAGACTCGTAAAATGGCGTCCTTCAGTCGTCACCCTGCTGATGCTGAACTGAGGGAAGTGAGTCGTGAGGAAAAGGAGTTGTCTCCCCTCGTCCACAGCCATTCCATATGTGAGTATCTTCTTCTTGAACACACTCATTTTCGAACTGTCTAACGGAAAGCGGAATATCCTATTGGGATGCCTTGTGCCTATAAGTATTCTTCTCTGCCGTGCTATATACACAACAGAATGTACCCATGACCTTGTTATAGCAGGGTACGGTTTGAGGGAGTTGTTCTTTAAGTGAAGTTGCATGCTCTCGTCCCTGTTATAAGACAACGGAACAATGATAATTCGGGGATTCTGTGACGTCTTTGTCTGCAGGAACATCGTCGACGATGTGTCACAGTCTCTACGTGTTTTGACGTCTCCTTTAACAGCGTTACTTCCGTTAAGCTTCGTCGCATTGTGGTCAAAGTGTGTTCCGTCTCTACTACTCAATGTCTTTGTTAGTACAGTGACATTGTGTTCTAACTGCATCATTCGTTTTTCAATAGTTTTTATCGAGATTACTCTTTCCTGCTCGACTTGTTTAACACGCCTTGTCAGTATGCTGATGTGGGCCTTTAAATACGTTACAGAATCTCTCAGTGTGTTTTCCTCTCTTACCTGTCGTCCAGAGACGCTTTCATTACAAGTGGACTTCAAAAGTTTGTCCCTCAACGTGTCTCTTTCCGTCTCCGCTCTCGTAGCATGCAGTGTCAATATGTCCACTTGAGCTTTAAGGTGTCCAACGTCGGATTTAAGACTGTTAACTTCACCCAGAAACATTTCGTGGATGATCTCAGCAACAGAACCGTTTCTGAGAATCTCGGGAAGTGCATCTTCAAAACGAGACTTGATCAAGCTGTCAACCTGGTTCAGTTCCTCTTCGGTGATGTTGCTGCTGGTGCAGGTTCCAAACAAGACAATTGTCACAGACACAAGATGTAGAGTTGATGTGGCCATGGTGGCTGTGACGGTATCACTCGGTGGGGACGACGCGATGACAACCGGAAGCCCCGCCATCATCACTACGTGGGGTGAAGGAGAGTAGGAAGTGTGTGTCTGAAGTGGATGTGAAGAGGGAATATCGACCTGACGTAAACCGTCCATCTGTGTTGGGCGACAGACATGCTTAAAGGTTCTGTCCAATAAATTGTGCTGATATCACGGTTATTGTGCTGCACGTGCACTGCAGGTTGTACATGTGATGCAGCTCCATGCTGCACGTGCACTGCAGGGTGTACATGACATACAGCTCCATGCTGCACATGCACTGCAGGCGTACATGACATACAGCTCCATGCTGCACGTGCACTGCAGGGTGTACATGACATACAGCTCCATGCTGCACGTGCACTGCAGTGTCTACATGACATACAGCTCCATGCTGCACGTGTACTGCAGGGTGTACATGACATACAGCTCCATGCTGCACGTGCACTTCAGTGTGTACATGACATACAGCTCCATGCTGCACATGCACTGCAGGCGTACATGACATACAGCTCCATGCTGCACATGTACTGCAGGCGTACATGACATACAGTTCCATGCTGCACATGCACTGCAGGCGTACATGACATACAGTTCCATGCTGCACATGTACTGCAGGCGTACATGACATACAGTTCCATGCTGCACATGTACTGCAGGCGTACATGACATACAGCTCCATGCTGCACGTGCACTGCAGGCGTACATGACATACAGCTCCATGCTGCACGTGCACTGCAGTGTACATGACATACACATGCTGCACACTGCAGGCGTTCCAGTTCCATGCTGCACATGTACTGCAGGGCGTACATGACATACAGCTCCATGCTGCATGTGTACTGAAGGCGTACATGACATACAGTTATACAGCTTATGCTGCACGTGCACTGCAGGGTGTACATGACATACAGTTCCATGCTGCACATGTACTGCAGGCGTACATGACATACAGCTCCATGCTGCATGTGTACTGCAGGCGTACATGACATACAGTTCTACATGCTGCATGTGTACTGCAGGCGTACATGACATACAGCTCCATGCTGCATGTGTACTGCAGGCGTACATGACATACAGTTCTATGCTGCACGTGCACTGCAGTGTGTACATGACATACAGCTCCATGCTGCACGTGTACTGCAGGCGTACATGACATACAGTTCTATGCTGCACGTGCACTGCAGGGCGTACATGACATACAGCTCCATGCTGCACGTGTACTGCAGGCGTACATGACATACAGTTCCATGCTGCACGTGCACTGCAGGGTGTACATGACATACAGTTCCATGCTGCACGTGCACAGCAGGGTGTACATGACATACAGCTCCATGCTGTACGTGCACTGCAGGGTGTACATGACATACAGCTCCATGATGCACGTGCTAACCATTCTGAAAATTCTGAATGTGGGAAGCACGGTTTCTAACACACTAAGCCCACAGACATGTGCTGTTTAACTGTATCAACCCTGCTAGCACACTGACTATTGAGATCCGGAATGTGGTTTAAAAGTGTTTTATCAGACAAAAGTCACAATCACACCGCACTGATACCTTGACAAGGTGAAGATGCGGTCATCGAGGTAGAGTGAGTGAGTTTAGTTCTAGGCCGCTTTAGTCGACTTAGCGCCAACCAATCATTGCTGTATCCATTATCCCTTTCTATGACGCGGTCAGGGAATCGAACCACGCACTTTCCGCTCTCCGGGCTGACACCCTGTCTACTGGACCACGGACCGACCAGTATATTCTAACAAATCGTCACCACAGGTGTTAAACGCTACAGTGTTCGAGTGAGTGAGTGAGTTTAGTTTTTAGCAATATTCCAGCAATATCACGGCGGGGGTCACCGGAAATGGGCTTCAGACAGTGTACCCATTGAATCGAACCCCGGTCCATGTGGGGAATCGAACCCCTAGGATCTTCATGCGTGACGAGTAGACATAGTTATGAGTCATTGGTCAAACCAGGTAATGGGTGCGCAGTGACGGCTACCATAACGTGTCCATCTCAACTGGTTAGCGATGTTGTTTTACGCCGCACACAACCTAATCCAAGCTACAGAGAAATACAGATATAACAAATTCAAAGAGATCACTAAGTTTAGCTCGTTATAACTACAGTTCGTTATATGCATTTCCGGGCGGCAGGGTAGCCTAATGGTTAAAGCGTTCGCTCGTCACGCCGAAGACCAAGGTTCGAATCCCCACATGGGCACAATGTGTGAAGCCCATTTCTGGTGTCCCCCGCCGTGATGTTGCTGGAATAATGCTTAAAACGGCGTAAAACCAAACTCATCAGTATATGCATTTCGATGTAAACATACAACAAGCGGTCAAGACAAAAATACAAACAAAACAGTTTGTTATATCCGTCAGTTCGATATAAACATGTTCGTTACAAACGTACTTCACTATATATTACGGCAAATAATCGAGTCCATATACACCCATGACTGAAAGCATGAGACACGATTCACGCCGGTAGGGTACCGTGAGTCTATTTTCCGTTATGGAACCTGACAACACTATCCATTTCAACAGAGATCAGCCATATATACCCGGAATATTGCTGAGTGTGGCGTAAAACTAAACTCACTCATTCACTCAACAGAGATCGACTAATTCCGGTTTGGAATAATAATTGGTGAACTCGATCTTCAATTGGAAACAAGGAATGAAAAACAAAACAAAACCAGTACTGAAAAAAATATATTTATTCTGATTATCAACACAAATCATAACGCTGTTTTATTTTCATAATGAACGCTTTAAGCTTTCGAGATATCAAGTAGGGGTTAATTGGATTTAGCACTGAAACCCCAGTTTCCCTGTTTCCCTGTACAACGTTTTTTCCCCTGCACAATGCGGACATTTCCCGAAAGCTCATTCTCAGCACGTTCAAGAAGTACAACTACACAGTTATAAATACCTTCGGCAATGTGTCCATCATAAAGAGGCACATCAATGTATGTAAGAATATGTATGAATAAAACACGACCATACTACAGTAATTATGTAGTTATACAATACTGTACACGGTAATAATTATAGGTAATAATTTGTTATGAGGTATAATGCGGCAAATGGAAGCTATGACTACTTTACGAGTAAGTTTCAGAGTTTAGTTTTACGCCGCAGTTCCAGAAATATCAGCGAACCTAATAATTCTGGACTATCTCTGAGTTACACTGAATTCCCTAAATTCGAATACTAAATGTCGTGAATTCGATAACTTTCTATTTTCGAGGTTCATTGTTGTGCCCATACACAAAGCGTAAATCCGGCCTCTCAATATCAACATACGTGTCTACACGAACAGGGCTGTGTGCTGGGCTTGGTACCATATTTCTGTCATTTATCTGGCTGCTATAGACACCAGCGATTATGTTGGATATATTGAAACCCCGTTTATCCGGAACCTATACATACCGGACAGTTACGGCTGGGAATGTGTAGGTATAATTGAACCTAAGTGCCCAACTGAATCTCACGTGGTAATTCCTTGGAAAGAGAGTTGGAAATTTGCATCCCTTAGGGAGTTAGAGAGTTGCATCCCTTAGAGAGTCATAGAGTTGCATCCCTTAGAGAGTTGCAGAATTGCATCCCTTAAATACGTGCATCCCTTAGATAGTTACAGAGTTGCACCCCTTAGAGAGTTACAGAGTTGCATCCCTTAGAGAGTTACAGAGTTGCACCCCTTAGAGAGTTATATCCGAGGAAGTATGAAGGGGTGTGGTAGCCGCTTTTGGCAATATTCCAGCAATATCACAGCGGGGGACACCAGAATAGGGCTTCACACATTGTACCCATGTGGGGAATCGAACCCGCGTCTAGAGCGTGACGAGCAGATGCTTCAACTACTTGGCTACCCCACAGTTCCCGACTGACTGACTGACTGAGTTTGGTTTTACGCCGTTTTTAGCAATATTCCAGCAACAGCACGGCGGGGGACACCAGAAATGAGCTTCACACATTGTACCCACGTGGGGATTCGAACACGGGTCTTCGGCACAGTTCCCGACAGAACAATGACAAAATGATGATGGTCGATACAGAAAATGTCTATTGATAACTATAGCTAATATGAATGACACGTCGTGCTTGTAAATCGTAGTAACGTAGCTACATGGTGCTTTATGATATATCACATGTTGATGATAGACCCGTGAAGATGCAGGTTAGAATGAGCCTTCAGTAACCCATGCTTGTGGTAAGGGGCGACTCACGGGATCGGGTGGTCAGGCTCGCTGACTTGGTTGACACATCGGTTCCCAATTGCGCAGATCGATGCTCATGCTGTTGATCACTGGATTGTCTTGTCCAGACTCGATTATTTACAGACCGCCACCATATAGCTGGAATATTGCTGAGTGCGGCGTAAAACTAACTCACTCACTGTTAATGATAAGACGCACGCCGTAAGAGCTATGCGGAATGGAATAGAATTCAACCAAAGTTAATATAAATACCAAGGCCAAACATATTCAGACATCAAGAGATAAATGCAATATACGTTTATCGTCAGTTTTTTGTTGTTGTTTTCTTTTGTTTGTTTTTGTTTTGTTATAGTTTATCAGATGGTTTATTGCTTAAAACAGTAATATTCCAAGTTTATGACCCGAAAGAGCTGCCCGGAATGAAAACCAAATTCAACCAAATTTTATATGAAGGTCAATTCGTGTAGTTTATGAGATAAATGCAATTTATGTTTATCGTCAGTTGTTGTTTTTTATCAGATTGTTTGATTTAAAGCAGTAATATTCCAACTGTATGACCACGGTATATGGACATACGAGTCCGGAACATTCAACCCAGTGGTCGACATCATGAGCAACGATCACATTGTTGGTAATGACGTGTGTGTCTCGTGTACCTGAAGATTTCGGTTCTAGAAGCTAAGTTACTCATATTTTGCAAGGGCTAAAGATATATCGAAAATCTCGGCACATAAGACAAATTAATACGTTATGTCACTTTCATGACGTAAATTGCCCACATCCGGGTTTTTTCGGCTCTGAGTCTTCTCATCCGGGTTCTTTGACATTATGCTTTCACATCTTGGTATCGCCTTCACTGACGTTGTATTTAGCGGTGAATTCATCATCCTCGACTTCCGGTATGCCCCCCTCAGGCAGTTCCCAGTAGCGATAATCGTCAAACAGCTCACCTGGCTCCGGATTGTCCCAAACCTTCATCTTCAGGATGGCCCCTGAAGGATAAAAATACTCTCTTGCATCTTCCAAAGAACTGGGTGTTTTTGCCATTCCTTGGCATTACAAAGACCATGGAATAAATGAGTATGCCTGGCAAAGACAATTGACTTCCACTGACCTTCAACCAAAACATTTTGCCTTTTGGTCAAAATGCGCCTTGTACTAAAAAAGGGTGTACGTTTTTTGCAGTATTTACGGTTTCACAAAAGAGGCTATATCATTTTTTTCTAGAGCAGGCAAATACGAAAGCCTTATGCTGCCACTTCTGTAGCATGTTATAAGTTTTTCTGGGCACTTCGATTAATTTCTCGTTGCTTCGAGTATTTTCGCATTCCTTCAACTTTCTTTCAAAAACTGGAAGTAACGAGAAAATGCTCGAAGCAATGAAAAAATAGTTGAAGCGACGAGAAAATAATCGAAGCAACGAAATATAATCGAAGCAACGAAAAAAATATTCGAAGCAACGAAAACTTTCGCTGAAAAAATATTTTATATTACAAAAGTGGCTTCATTAGGCTTTCGTAGGCAGAGCAAATCAGCTGACAGTATGATCGAAGTTTGGCTATCTCAGCATTGGTTGTGTCTCAATAGCCATGGCATATGTCGCGACAAAATGGAGCACAAAGATATTGATCAAAGTTTAAATATCTCAGCACTGATTGTGTCTCAGTAGTCAAATTGCCCGTACAACAACCGTGGCACTTAAACTGACCTGTAAATATCCCTCCCACGATGGCCATCCCAAGCGACAACAGCAGGGCATAGATCTGGAACGCTGCTTGCTGCCCGGCCGTTCGCCCCAGCCCATGCAGCTCGGGTACAGGATAGGGGGTGCTGGAGTTACCCACGTCAGGGATGGGGGCACGGGCGGGAAATATCTCATATAGGCTGAAAAAAGGAGAATTATATACCGGTGGAAATAACCAAACACACAGTCATTGAAAAATAGTATCTAAATGTATTTTGCATTGATGTGTGAGTGTACATGTGATATGTCACTATGTGCGATGATCAACAGAGTAATAACTTGTTTTCTTTGAAGCCAAGAGGCCTCGAACTGTTCTACCTGGGTATAATGGCACCCTGGGTATAATGCCACCTTGGGTATAATGGCACCCTGGATATAATGCCATATTTTCACCTGGACAAACGGAGGCATTATAACGGTGAGATGAGGTGAGGTGAAATTGGGTTTATCGTCGTGCTTGAGAATATTTCGCTCATATGACGACGTGCATGCGTGTGTATGTGTATGTGCAGCTGCTTGTACTAGCCCAGACTGAAGCTGGTTTTATAGTGCTACCCAACTGAGATACAATGCCGCAGTAAAGCATGAATACCCCACTCAGACACATTATACTGACTCCGAGCCGACCAGTCCTTGTACCCAGTAATGCCGAGCGCCAGGCAGGGACCAACAAGTACCATATTTTAACGTCTTTTGGTATGACGCGGTCGGGGATCGAACCGGCATTATAACGAGGGTACACTATATATGATAGTGTGTCAACGAAACACTTTATGAAGCCCTCTTTTAAAGCATTTAGAAAGTGTAGTTATCAGAAGGGATAAGATATATGGATGAACAACTTCCTTACTACAATTTGGAGCTATATTTCGGTGTTGGTTCCATCATTTACTGTTTCCATGTTTATGTATAGCGTCTATCAAGATATTCCTACAGTCTTCTACATCTAACATTAAACCACTAGGGAAAGTTATGTCCATTGTTCTTGGAAGTGTTTTATTAGCATAATTGAATAACTGCCCTAGGGCAATTATTTCTATTTAAAAACATTAAAATTGTACTCATTTTGATAATTTTCATCATGCCTAATACATGACACGCGTATCAAATAAGTATGCCCTCGTGGTGTAAGCCGTTTAATCACCCTCACTACAACAGTTATTTAAATAAACTCTGCTCGGGCCGTTTAAATAACTACCTTGTAAGGTGATTAACCTATACCTACCGTAATAAACACATTTCAAGTCTACTGTTTTAAAGATAATTTGGGTTTAAGTGTTTACATTTCGCGAAATTTCACGAAGCAGAAAATCAACATAAGTGTGTACCTTTCACCATAGACATTTTCTGTGGCTAGCGCGGCTGTCACTGCGCCACCGATTCCCGCCATAATTCCCGGCATGCCGTGCAAATTGTTGACTCCACACGTGTCGTGGATCTTTAGTTTAGTGCTGACAAAAGGCTGAGAACATGAAAAACGACGTAGTGAGTGGGTGAGTTTAACGTCACATTCAACATTAAGTTAGTTGGAGGTATATTTCAGTAGGACAAAATTATGGAACCACTTACGGAAATAAAGTACATTATTCTTTTCACAGTCGTTGCTGTATTTAAAAGAAGAATATTAAACTGTGAAAATAAATATGATTTAATTCTTATTTTTAAAGTCGTCTACAATAGTCACATACCTTCCTGTCAACCAATCACACAAAATAAACCACGATGGTGTTTAGCCAATCACAGCGAGGATAACATTGTGAATGTACCACGATGTGTTATTATCCAATCAAAGAGAGCATAACAACTTGAACTTACCGAGATGTATTTATAGCCAATCACAGACAGGATCGCGGCCACTGACCCAATGACAAGTGCGCCCCATGGCTCAATGTTCATGTTTGCGCAGGTGCCAACTGCAACGCCCCCTGCCAGAGTAGCGTTCTGTATATGTTCCTGCAATGACATGTTACAGCATGAGCAAGTTCACTCGATACATGACAGGTTTACCATCCGGGTTTCGAGCTGACAGTGGACCCGGATCACATGGCCAGCGAATCCGACTACGACTAAGGGAGGCAACTCTTATAATCGCGATGTAGAACTTCAGATGGAATGGCACCAGTGCCTGATAGTACTGTCTTAAGTACGTTTGTTTGCAATGCACTATTAGATCCAGGAGATATACAGTAAAAATATGAAATCAAATCATCCATATTATTACACTTATTATTGTGTGTTATTACACTTACTATTGTGTGTTATTACATTTACTATTGTGTATTATTACACTTACTATTGTGTGTTATTACACTTACTATTGTATGTTATTACACTTACTATTGTGTGTTATTACACTTACTATTGTGTTATTACACTTACTATTGTGTGTTATTACACTTACTATTGTGTGTTATTACGCTTACGATATGGCTGAAATACTGCCGATGCGACTTAAAATTGTAACTCACTATTATTGTGTGTAAATAAGGGTACTTGTTTGTCCATTTAACATAAACTGACGTACAAAAGAAAGTACGCACCTGACGATTTGGTAAAATATTTTCTTAAAAACAGCGTTAAAATGAGAAAAGTGTTTTGATTGTGACAAACGTTGTGTACGTGTTGCAATAACACCAGATATCGTACCCAATTACAACGTTGCTTGCAAAATATTTGTTTATTTGGGAATAGTCCCAAAACACCAGGTGTGTACTTTCATTTGTACGTCAGTATATGTTAAGAAGTTTATATTCAATATATCTCTTTTAATGATAGCATTATGAAAAACAATAACCTACTTCTCCCTGTGAAAACGTTTATTACCAAGTTCCTGGTTTGGATCGGTGCCTAGTAACCTATGTCAGCCTTGATTATGGACTAAAATGGACTGAATGGTCAGGCTCTGGGTTCTGGTTGACTGCATGTAGTTATGAACCGTTTGCAACCGTGACTCGTGCTTTCAGTTTCTGATTTGTCTGGTACCCACAGTCCGTATTCATACTGCTAGATCACTGCTGACTGCTGACTGCTGACTGCTGACTCTAGCCTAAAATATCATGCCCACCCCAGTACTCACCATTTCAAACTTCCCATGCTTCTGAACAACAGCAGACATAGCAAACGTTATACAGCAGCAGGCAGCCAATGAGAAGTAAGTATTTAAGATAGCCCGGTGTTGTTCGTCTCCCTCCGCGGCGCCGCCATTGAAGCTGGGCCAGTACATCCACAAGAAAATAGTTCCTGTTAGCAACAACAAACAGACAAACATAAATACTCACAATTTTAAAAGACTGCATAATAAGTTATATACATGTAACCTTTGCATAAAAAGGGCGGTGGGGTAGCCTCGGCGACTATGCTTGTCGTAAGAGGCGACTAACGGGATCGGGTGGTCAGGCTCGCTGACTTGGTTGACACATGTCATCGGTTCCCAATTGCTCAGATCGATGCTCATGCTGTTGATCACTGGATTGTCTGGTCCAGACTCGATTATTAACAGACCGCTGCCATATAGCTGGAATATTGGTGAGTGCGGCGTAAAACTAAACTCACTCACTCACTCACTAACTACTACTACTACTACTACTACTACTACTACTACTACTACTACTACTACTACTACTACTACTACTACTACTACTACTACCACTACCACTACTACTACTACTGATAATAATATTCCATTTATCATGCGCATTTCTCCATGATCAATGCATGCTTGAAGCGCCCAAAAGATCGGATTATTATTACGCCGGATAACACAAGCTGCCTGTGAAGCGCTAGAAGTTTAATGGTTACATGACCTATTTCAACGGGTACCCATTTTCAACTCAGTTGCCTATGGTTACTCACCAATCATGGAGAAAAGGTCGGAATGGTAGACAGGCCCCGCCTTCTTAGACGTTGTGGCGTCCTCGCTATACAAAACCCTTGATGCCGCTAGGCCGAAGTAGGCGCCGAAAGCATGGATAAAGCATGGACTCGCCTACATCGGAAGCCTGGAGGTAAAGGGTTCAATGTTAAAGGCCATTGACATTGCAGATTTAAATTTTTAAGCCTTCGTTGACGATTCGCTGATTCAGCATGTACAAAGGTTCTAATTATTTTCACGCATCGATCGTCGTCGTCCATCGTCCCAGTCATCTGTGAATACATGCCGTAAATGTCCCACTTTGATGTGCAGAATTGTGTCCCTTTATGTTCCAATCAGCTATGATCGCGGGTTCGAATCCCGGGTGTTCCGGGATATATTGTGTTTTGGTTTGCCAGCACCATACCAGTGTTTGTGGTAAAATTCCAGGAACTGCACACACCCTAATATATCTGTTTATATTTAAAGTAATAAACGATGCTTCGTCTCGCAATAAACACTATATGGCTGAACCACTGTCGATGAGGGTCCACCGGCACTCACTTACTGGAATATTGCACTCACACTCACTCACTCCTCACTCACTCACTCACTCACTCACTCAGTCACTCACTCACATTGTACCCGGGTGGGGAATCGAACCGGTTCTTCGAGGTGACGAGCAAATGTCTTAACCACCAGGCCACCTTACCAACCTGTTCAATAACCATGCTAACTCATACGAGTCACTTCAGGCTGTTCACCCAATCACTCACTCACCCAATCACTCACCCAATCACTCACTCACTTGTATATCCATAAAAATTCTCATCATTCTTCATCACCTCAACTTCTAAAATGCCCATCAAAGAAACAATTATATACTAGTATATTCAGAGGCTAAGACTTTTCATGGGGCGGTTGGGTAGCCTAGTGGTTAAAGCGTTCACAGGTCCTGTCGAAGACCTGGGTTCGATTCCCCACATGGGTACAATCTGTGAAGCCCATTTCTGGTGTCCCCCGCCGTGATATTGCTTGAATATTGCTAAAAGTGGCATAAAACCATACTCACTCACTCACTGTTAACACACTGTCACCCTGAAGTGATCGGTTGACAGTACTCACGTGGAACTTCTCGACACAGATCCACTCGTTAATCTGGATGAGAACAACCTCGATGAGGGTCATGACCATGAGCTGGAGGGGGGAGAGCTTTCCCAGCACGGCACCGAACGATATCAGCACCCCAGCGGCAGAGAAGTCAGCGGACATCATCCTGAAACAGGGGAAATAACTCGCATATATAACCGAACCCACATTAATGTCATTGGTTCTCAGATCAGATTTGGAGGAATCTCTCTTGGATCTCTTGGATCGGGATGCAATGCATTCACTATCACAATACACAACTATCAGATGCAATGCATTCACTATCACAATACACAACAAATTGGATCAGATGCATTAGATTTACTAGGTCACGTGACTATCACAATACACAACAAATTGGATCACATGCAATAGATTTACTAGGTCACGTGACTATCACAATACACAACAAATTGGATCACATGCAATAGGTTTACTAGGTCACGTGACTATCACAGTACACAACAAATTGGATCAGATGCAATAGTTTTACTTATAGTCGGTTTGGCTCAAAATCGGACCGATGAACAATCAACATGCAATAGTTTACTAGGTCACGTGACTATCACAATTTTTCCAGAATTTATGACCTGAAAATAAAAAAGTTGTTAAACAAACTATCATTAAAATTTGGACAGAGTTCACTGTTTGTTACGAGGGAGGAGTACAAAGGGAGGAACAGCCTGGTGTACACGGAGAGCACGTGCACAAGTGCCAACAAAGTCATTGATTCATTAACCTGTGCTGTGCCGTCTCCGTCCTTTTTTGCACACGTGGCTGTTCCTCTCTTTGCACCCCTCCCTCGTAACAAATACTGAACTGTGTCAAGAGTTTAAAGATAGTTTGTTAAACAACCTTTTTATTTTTAGGACATAAATTCTGGGAAAAAATCACAGAGTTGGTCTGATCTTTTGATTATGATTAGTGTTTCATTGAGTACTATATGTTTAGTAGTTTTCGAGTTAGGTTGCAATTCATCGGTCCGATTTTGAGCCAAACGGACTATAGTTCACGTGACTATCACAATACACAAAACAGCCTGCAACTAAGGACACCGCTTTCACTTTTCAGAAAACAAGATTTGTTATAACAATTTGTGATCTCCGGTGCTGGAAAATATGCATGACTAAATGACTGAGAATGAGTATATATTGAACAAAACAAATTCCGGATAACAAAGAATCATGGATCTTTTCGAAGATATTTTCACAGTGAAAACTGAGCACGCCGGTCGTTTCATTGAAAATATTCCACAAAATGTTCATGGTTCCTAACTATTTGTGTTGAGTATATAACCCAAATTGTGTGAGTCGTGCAAGCTACTGAATATACACGTACACGCTTCAGACATAAATCATGATAAAACAACATGCAAGAATAGAGATCAGCACTGAGTTATCGTTCTTACTCTGGAACGTAGACCTTGAACTTCTCTCCGGCCGTGACGTCAATGTGCAACAGGCCCCGGATGATGGTGGTCCACTGAATGGCGAAAGCTGCAAGGAGGAAGTTCAGGCCCACGGCGCTATAGCCGTACCGCTTCAGAAACGTCATGAGGAAGCCGAAGCCCATGAAGATCATGCCGTTCACATCCTGGAAGCCTAAAAGAGAGGTAAAAAAAGAAGGTTAAATGAAACAGGCCCCGCCTACTACTGATTCTTGGCTGATAACAGAAAATGCGGGTCTTGTGTTGTGTACATTCTTGTATGTTAACGGTTAAATAAGCAATATGTGAACATAACATACTTTGTGTATTCTTCTACAAGGACGGACTTCAAATTATGGAGAGCTATGTAAAAAGAAGTCATCTTAGAAAAGTTAAAAGCTAAACCACATTCATCTTCATCCACACTTTTAGGTTATTCAACCCTGCGTACACGCAGATAAAAGCTCTGTAACTGGAACAAAACAAAGCTCAAGTATCTCTTTATTATGAGTACATGTTAAATTATTGAATATCAGTTATTTTAAGTGAAGCAAAACATTTATTCAATTAAGAGCTGTTTGACGCAGCTGTTTTGTATCCTTTCCTGAAAGGTGAAGCTGTAATATGATTTCTTGTATTTTTCCATGAATACACATGCACTTTTATTGTTTGTTTTTTATTCCGTGGTATTACTGCAGACGTCGTTTTAGTTTTCACAAAAAAAGCAAAATCAGTTATTTGTCTGCATTTTAGTGCCACGTGTTTCTTAATGTCTTCCAGTAATGAGGTATAGTCCGTTTGGCTCAAAATTGGACCGATGAATTGCAACCTAACTCGAAAACTAATATACATATAATATTGTCGTAAAAGCCGACTAACTTGGATCGGGTGGTCAGGCTCGCTGACTTGGTTGACACATGTCATCGGTTCCCAATTGCGCAGATCGATGCTCATGCTGTTGATCACTGGATTGTCTGGTCCAGACTCGATTATTGACAGACCGCCGCCATATAGCTGGAATATTGCTGAGTGCAGCGTAAAACTAACTCACTCACTCACTACATATAATACTAAATGAAACGCTGATCATAATTAAAACATCAGATCAACTCGATGAGGCTTTTGCAGAATCTATGTCCTAAAAATAAACGAGTTGTTTAACAAACCATCATTAAAGTTTTGACACAGTTCACTTTTTGTTACGAGGGAGGAGTGCAAGGAGAGGAACAGCCAGGTGTGCGAGAAAGGATGGAGCCGGCACAGCATAAGTAAATGAATCAATGACTTTGTCGGCACTTGTGCGCGTGCTTCACGTACACCTGGCTGTTCCTCTCTTTGCACTCCCCTCGTAACAAATAGTGAACTGTGTCAAAATTTTAATGATAGTTTGTTAAACAACTTATTTATTTTTCGGACATAAATTCTGCAAAAAAAATCACAGAATTGGTCTGATGTTTTGATGATATGATAAGTGTTTCATTCTGTATTATATGTTTATTAGTTTTCGAGTTAGATTGCAATTCATCGGTCCAATGTTGGGCCAAACGGACCATACCTGTAGATGACTTCCTTTAACAAGCCATCTATACTGGCATGTGTGTGAAGGGTGGCTGAAGGACAGCTGCAAGAAGATTTACAGGCGGTGTAATGCACACCGTACCATCATCTATACCCAGGCGCTGAATCACACCCCGTATCAACTTTAACAGCCAGACGCTGAAGCCACGAAGCGGAGCAAGTCTCGTAACAACGAGATTATGGCGTTGACAGGCGTGACCTCATATACGTTGTAACATGGCCTGACTATATAACCTGTCCCACCTCATGCGATTTGTTGTTAGTGTCACCGTGAATATGCCCAGCCGTAGAGGCGGATGGTGTCTTGTCCTGGAACGTTTACTGTTCAGGACGTAGATCTGGTTTCGAGTTCCGACTTGGGTACATTTCGTGAACTATTTATTGTATCCTCTGCTGTGATAACGGCCGAACCAATGCCCAACCAAAATTCAGCTCATTCCTTCACTTTACGTATATATTGGTTTTTGTTTGCTTGTAGTTCTTACAACAATCATGATGTCATGCATAGTACAGCCATATTCGAAGTTCCATCTTTGTTCTGTGGTTGGTGGGATTTGTTTTTTGTTTAACGCCCCACCCAGGAATATTCCAGCTAAATGGCAGCGGTCTGTATATAATCGAGTCTGGACCACACAATCCAGTGATCAACGGCACGAGCATCGATCTACGCATTTGAGATACGATAACATGCATCAACCAAGTCAGCAAACCTGACCATCCGATCTCGGTAGTCGCCTCTTACGACAAGCATGGGTTACTGAAGATCAGTTCTTCACGGGTATATTTTAGAATGCTTCTCTACACGAATAAAAGCGTGTAAAGATTCAGGTGAATTATAACGTCTTCGGAACCGGACGTTATGCGTGATATTACGACACCATGGTTTATGTACATGTATATAGTTGAAGTTAGAGGACAATGTCGAGTGGACCCGAGTGGACCCACAGGGACGTGTCACGCTTAGAAACAGCGTTAGAAAGACATATGGGTATATAGACCCTACCCTAGAACTATATAAAAGTCCCACACGCCCCTGTGGACCCGAGTAGATCTGTCACGTGACGTTAATAAACTGCAGTCAGGCAAGGTGTAGTCGATACATTGTTAGCCTGAGCGTAAAAAGCTTGTTGGGAAAATGCACAAATCTTGATCACTTTTGTCCTGGCTTTCGTTTTAAGGAAACAATGTTAGAAATACTCGTTTCCTCTTCCCCAAACACTGTGTTACACATCATACACACCTCACCATCAACAATACAGCTGGATGGTGGATCCAATGATGTAATCCCCTCCCAGAGTCCATGCAAAACGGAAGTGAGTCAAGTGAAAAGTCGGTGCCATGAAGTCCGAGTTGAACACACCTTCAAGGTCACTGAACTCACGCGGTAATCGACGAGACTGACTTCCTCAAACGTTGTGCAAGGTGGTGGCGTGTGAATGCTGTGTGTGATTTTTGTCTTTTGTTTTGTGTGTGTGTGTGTGTGTGCATGAGGGATATCTATATTATTTTAATCTATTTTTATTATTATAGGGCAGAATTTTAGAATTTATTTTCTCACAACACCGATTTTAGGGACCGTTCTCAATTTATGGCTAGCGGGGTGATGATGATTTTGACCTGGGGAGGTTGGGAGCGGTTATCAATTTGGTATACATGCTCTAGTGGGGCGACATGCACGGGGATGTCACTTCGTACATTGAATTTAGTTTTTGCATGCACATTGTAAATGCTTCTCCCTAAAACATCATAATCCCCCACCCACCCCCCACACACACACACACACACACACACACACCTCCACACCCCTTCCCCGCCGTAAATAATGAACGGTCCCTAAAGGTTAACCACGTATTCGTGCAAAATGTTATAGAAGGTTTTCACCCTTTTCTATCACGTTGATAGGTACCTATTAGAACAACCAATATCTTGTTGAACAACCGTATTTTTACTGTAACGTCAGTTGATGAAAATTAGGTTCGAAACAATGTAAGTTAAAAATTTGATTGCCTGGCAACTCAGATGTTATGTCAATCTGACAGCCATATCAATAGAACGAGTGAGTGAGTGAGTGAGTATTGTTTTACGCCGATTTTAGCAATATTCCAGCAACATCACGACAGGGACACCAGAAATGAGCTTCACACAATTGTACCCATGTGGGGAATCGAACCTTGGTCTTCGACAGGGCATGTGAACGCTTAAACCACTAGGCTACCCCACCGCCCGATGAAAAGTCTTAGCCTCTGAATATACTAGTATATAATTGTTTCTTTGATGGGCATTTAAGAATTTTTATGGATATACAACTTCTTATATTCTGTGAAAGGCGATGTTTCGACACAGATTCTAATGTCATCACTTGCTTAACAATGACATTAGAATCTATATCGAAACGCCCTATTACTCTTCCGTAACGACCAACTAAATTCATTTATTTCTCAAAAAGAACTACACACCGTGACACAGAAGACATGTTTTTGTATGATACTAATTTGTATTTAACAGGATGTCGGTCATTTTGCACAACTATTTGCCGAAGTGAAGTCATTTTGCATGGAATATTGTATAAACGCTTCAACGGAAACAGATAAAGATAGAAGCCGGTACATAGGTTAGGCACACATATATATAGTCACACTCAAAGTTTTTTTGCACGTGAATTTTGCAGGGCTACTGATTTCTTTAACATTTCTGTCCTCTACCATCGACACTGGTATTTATTTAGGGTTGGCCTCTATATTTGTCCCAAGTTGGGCAGGTCAGCTCTAGTAGGGTAATGTTCGGCCTGTACAGTGTTAACGCTTGGTAATGTTCGGCCTGTACAGTTTTATCGCAGTGTAATGTTCGCCCTGTTAAGTGTTGACGCTGGGTAATGTTCGCCCTGTGCAGTGTGAACGCTGGGTAATGTTCGCCCTGTTAAATGTTAACGCTGGGTAATGTTCGCCCTGTGCAGTGTTAACGCTTGGTAATGTTCGCCCTGTTAAGTGTGAACGCAGTGTAATGTTCGCCCTGTTAAGTGTAAACGCAGTGTAATGTTCGCCCTGTTAAATGTTAACGCTGGGTAATGTTCGCCCTGTGCAGTGTGAACGCTGGGTAATGTTCGCCCTGTTAAATGTTAACGCTGGGTAATGTTCGCCCTGTGCAGTGTTAACGCTTGGTAATGTTCGCCCTGTTAAGTGTAAACGCAGTGTAATGTTCGCCCTGTTAAGTGTAAACGCAGTGTAATGTTCGCCCTGTTAAATGTTAACGCTGGGTAATGTTCGCCCTGTGCAGTGTGAACGCTGGGTACTGTTCGCCCTGTTAAATGTTAACGCTGGGTAATGTTCGCCCTGTGCAGTGTTAACGCTTGGTAATGTTCGCCCTGTGCAGTGTTAACGCTGGGTAATGTTCGCCCTGTGCAGCAGTGTTAACACAGTGTAATGTTCGCCCTGTGCAGTGTTAACGACGGGTAATGTTCGCCCTGTGCAGTGTTAACACAGTGTGCTGTTCGCCTTCTTCAGTGTTAACGCTGGGTAATGTTCGCCCTGTGCAGTGTTAACGCTGGGTAATGTTCGCCCTGTGCAGTGTTAACGCTGGGTAATGTTCGCCCTGTGCAGTGTTAACGCTGGGTAATGTTCGCCCTGTGCAGCGTTAACACAGTGTAATGTTCGCCCTGTGCAGTGTTAACGCTGGGTAATGTTCGCCCTGTGCAGTGTTAACGCTGGGTAATGTTCGCCCTGTGCAGTGTTAACGCTGGGTAATGTTCGCCCTGTGCAGTGTAACGCTGGGTAATGTTCGCCCTGTGCAGTGTTAACACAGTGTAATGTTCGCCCTGTGCAGTGTTAACGCTGGGTAATGTTCGCCCTGTGCAGTGTTAACGCTGGGTAATGTTCGCCCGGTGCAGTGTTAACGCTGGGTAATGTTCGCCCTGTGCAGTGTTAACGCTGGGTAATGTTCGCCCTGTGCAGTGTAACGCTGGGTAATGTTCGCCCTGTGCAGTGTTAACACAGTGTAATGTTCGCCCTGTGCAGTGTTAACGCTGGGTAATGTTCGCCCTGTGCAGTGTTAACGCTGGGTAATGTTCGCCCTGTGCAGTGTTAACACAGTGTAATGTTCGCCCTGTGCAGTGTTAACGCTGGGTAATGTTCGCCCTGTGCAGTGTTAACGCTGGGTAATGTTCGCCCTGTGCAGTGTTAACACAGTGTAATGTTCGCCCTGTTAAGTGTTGACGCTGGGTAATGTTCGCCCTGTGCAGTGTGAACGCTGGGTAATGTTCGCCCTGTTAAATGTTAACGCTGGGTAATGTTCGCCCTGTGCAGTGTTAACGCTTGGTAATGTTCGCCCTGTTAAGTGTGAACGCAGTGTAATGTTCGCCCTGTTAAGTGTAAACGCAGTGTAATGTTCGCCCTGTTAAATGTTAACGCTGGGTAATGTTGTTCGCCCTGTGCAGTGTGAACGCTGGGTAATGTTCGCCCTGTTAAATGTTAACGCTGGGTAATGTTCGCCCTGTGCAGTGTTAACGCTTGGTAATGTTCGCCCTGTTAAGTGTAAACGCAGTGTAATGTTCGCCCTGTTAAGTGTAAACGCAGTGTAATGTTCGCCCTGTTAAATGTTAACGCTGGGTAATGTTCGCCCTGTGCAGTGTGAACGCTGGGTACTGTTCGCCCTGTTAAATGTTAACGCTGGGTAATGTTCGCCCTGTGCAGTGTTAACGCTTGGTAATGTTCGCCCTGTGCAGTGTTAACGCTGGGTAATGTTCGCCCTGTGCAGTGTTAACACAGTGTAATGTTCGCCCTGTGCAGTGTTAACGACGGGTAATGTTCGCCCTGTGCAGTGTTAACACAGTGTGCTGTTCGCCTTCTTCAGTGTTAACGCTGGGTAATGTTCGCCCTGTGCAGTGTTAACGCTGGGTAATGTTCGCCCTGTGCAGTGTTAACGCTGGGTAATGTTCGCCCTGTGCAGTGTTAACGCTGGGTAATGTTCGCCCTGTGCAGCGTTAACACAGTGTAATGTTCGCCCTGTGCAGTGTTAACGCTGGGTAATGTTCGCCCTGTGCAGTGTTAACGCTGGGTAATGTTCGCCCTGTGCAGTGTTAACGCTGGGTAATGTTCGCCCTGTGCAGTGTAACGCTGGGTAATGTTCGCCCTGTGCAGTGTTAACACAGTGTAATGTTCGCCCTGTGCAGTGTTAACGCTGGGTAATGTTCGCCCTGTGCAGTGTTAACGCTGGGTAATGTTCGCCCGGTGCAGTGTTAACGCTGGGTAATGTTCGCCCTGTGCAGTGTTAACGCTGGGTAATGTTCGCCCTGTGCAGTGTAACGCTGGGTAATGTTCGCCCTGTGCAGTGTTAACACAGTGTAATGTTCGCCCTGTGCAGTGTTAACGCTGGGTAATGTTCGCCCTGTGCAGTGTTAACGCTGGGTAATGTTCGCCCTGTGCAGTGTTAACACAGTGTAATGTTCGCCCTGTGCAGTGTTAACGCTGGGTAATGTTCGCCCTGTGCAGTGTTAACGCTGGGTAATGTTCGCCCTGTGCAGTGTTAACACAGTGTAATGTTCGCCCTGTGCAGTGTTAACGCTGGGTAATGTTCGCCCTGTGCAGTGTTAACGCTGGGTAATGTTCGCCTTCTTCAATGTTAACGCTGGGTAATGTTCGCCCTGTGCAGTGTTGACGCTGGGTAATGTTCGCCCTGTGCAGTGTTAACACAGTGTAATGTTCGCCCTGTGCAGTGTTAACGCTGGGTAATGTTCGCCCTGTGCAGTGTTAACACAGTGTAATGTTCGCCCTGTGCAGTGTTAACGCTGGGTAATGTTCGCCCTGTGCAGTGTTAACGCTGGGTAATGTTCGCCCTGTGCAGTGTTAACGCTGGGTAATGTTCGCCCTGTGCAGTGTTAACGCTGGGTAATGTTCGCCCTGTGCAGTGTTAACGCTGGGTAATGTTCGCCCTGTGCAGTGTAACGCTGGGTAATGTTCGCCCTGTGCAGTGTTAACGCTGGGTAATGTTCGCCCTGTGCAGTGTTAACACAGTGTAATGTTCGCCCTGTGCAGTGTTAACGCTGGGTAATGTTCGCCCTGTGCAGTGTTGACGCTGGGTAATGTTCGCCCTGTGCAGTGTTAACACAGTGTAATGTTCGCCCTGTGCAGTGTTAACGCTGGGTAATGTTCGCCCTGTGCAGTGTTAACACAGTGTAATGTTCGCCCTGTGCAGTGTTAACACAGTGTAATGTTCGCCCTGTGCAGTGTTAACGCTGGGTAATGTTCGCCCTGTGCAGTGTTAACGCTGGGTAATGTTCGCCCTGTGCAGTGTTAACGCTGGGTAATGTTCGCCCTGTGCAGTGTTAACGCTGGGTAATGTTCGCCCTGTGCAGTGTTAACGCTGGGTAATGTTCGCCCTGTGCAGTGTTAACGCTGGGTAATGTTCGCCCTGTGCAGTGTTAACGCTGGGTAATGTTCGCCCTGTGCAGTGTTAACACAGTGTAATGTTCGCCCTGTGCAGTGTTAACGCTGGGTAATGTTCGCCCTGTGCAGTGTTAACACAGTGTAATGTTCGCCCTGTTCAGAATTAACACAGTGTAATGTTCGCCCTGTGCAGTGTTAACGCTTGGTAATGTTCGCCCTGTGCAGTGTTAACACAGTGTAATGTTCGCCCTGTTCAGTGTTAAAGGTGGGTAATGTTCGATTTCTCACATGGGTACAATGTGTGAAACTCATTTCTGGTGTCCCACGCCGTGATAATGCTGGAATATTTCTATAAGCGGCTTAAAACCATACTCACTCACTCTCCAACCTATTCCACCTTCAGAACTCCATCAAGCTAAAAGCCGCGTAAAACCAAACACGCACACTTTGTTTGGTGCCCAGGCCTCTGGTTGAAAGGGATCCATGTAATACTGATCTAATTAAGTCTTTGGTTGTGTGTTTTATGCCATGTCAGACAATTTTGTATTCATGTTTTACACTACATCAATGAATGAACACTGACCGCTCAGATGATTCCCAATAATACCTTCAACATGTTCCTTTTCTTGAAATTACCGGTGAAGATCCAGGTTAGAATTGATCTTCAGTAACCCATGCTTGTCGTAAGAGGCGACTAACGGGACTGGGTGGCCAGGCTCGCTGACTTGGTTGACACATGTCATCGCATCCCAATTGCGCAGATCGATGTTCATGCTGTTAATCATTGGATTGTCTGCTCCAGACCCGATTATTTACAGGCTGCCGCCATATAGCTGGAATATTGCTAGGTGCGGCGTAAAACTAAACTGACTTACTCACTCTCTTGAAAAGTGTTGTCAGTTACGCAACCTACCGAAAGTAAATATCGTCTTTTGAATTATGTTCGAGGTGATAGGGTTCATATCAATGTTATGCTAATGGTGTAGCTATCTTCTATACTGTTCTCCCGTTTCAACGCTTGAACAATTCTTATTCATACACATTTTTATCTTGAGATTGAAGTTTCATATATTACCCATCAAGAGTTTAGACTCACTAGTGTAAATGCACCCACTTACCTCAGGCAACTGTTCTAAACTAGATTTTGCAAAATATTCCATACTGTTTAAAGGTATTGTTTACACATGAACTGATGTATTGTAAAACAAATTCGTAACGTTGACAAGATAATGTCATGAGTTCAATAAATGATGCAACTCAAAATTGGCTAATACTCAACAAAACTTTACACCAAAACGCAGCTGTTCACATGCACGATATTTGCACATGTTTTTCAGAAAATTGATCCATGATCCTCGTGCAATTCATCTGCATAAGGTTTAAGGTCCCGCAAGTTAGTGGAGAAATTCATCTTCGATGTAACCATGTATATATACATAACATATAGTGAGTGCTTTAAGTGAGTCTAAACTTTTGGTGGGTAGTATATATGATAACATTTGGGAACGTGTATATAAGATCCAAGAAACATTGCTAAGTTTTATTGTTTCAATAATCAGGACACTTGTTAATCCGTACAATGTGACTACAAAACGGCACCTTGCAGATTAACAGGGCTATGACTTCCGATTCATAAATAACACACGAATATTCGTGGGTTACATCTGGATCAGTGGCCTTGACTGAAATATTCACTTGTATCATACTGGCACGACAATTGCGAATATCTAAATGAATATATCACATGATTATGACTGATACAAATCCACGTAAGACTGATAACAGTCATATCAATCTCACTGATTGACGTTTATTCCTGATGTCACCAGTGAAATACCTACCACTGTGACACCTCATATAAAAGTAGGCCAATACAAGAAGGGTCAGAATCATGTACTTACTGCTATAGTATTTCTTCACCGGTGAAGAGCTGGTATCGGTGTCCTTGGGTTTGGATGTCGGACCATATTTGGCCATGAATGCAAATATTAAAATAAATGCAATTTGGCATACAAATATGAAAATCGGTAACTTTCCTCGTTGCCAACTCATTGTTTCTTCTCTCAGTGCACAATAGGCGAAAAACTGTCTCCCACAAGTACTAATCTCGAGAAGTTTTCCAATACGTAATTACACTCCGAGTTCTTGCGATGTCAATTTGACCCGAGCATTAGTGGGCGGGGCATGAGCCGTCCAATCAAATTGCGTATACTAAAAGCAGATAGCCTAGCCCATACTGTCAACTGACTGTGCAGCCACGTGTGACTGCTTCGGTAAGTGAGGCCCTCGAACGACTTTAACTCTCTTTGTCAGATGTCCTTGGTGGGATGAGCCAATTGGGCCGAGTTAGATCGTAACTTGATATACCACATAAGTCTGTGTCATAAGGTATTTATTCATACCCTAACATGAATAACGTCATACCTCTTTACAATAGTTTCGAGTTTGGTTTACGACAGATTGTATAGAGCTTTAAACCATGGCCTCTCTGATATCATTCCGATATGGACCGACTTGGTAAGGACGGTAGTTTAATTTGTTCTCTTGTTTAAAATACAACTAAAAAGACAATTCGACACTTCCATTTTGCTATTATTAATCTGTCACGCCATTAGAGATTAAGTATGTGATATGAATGAATCACGTGACCTTTGGAGGGAAAATATGATAATTATTGATATAAATATTTTTATTAATTTGTTGAAAAGCGAGCATCGACATCTGGACTCGAACTCGAGATGTTCCGCTACAAGCTAGTGACTGTATTCCTCTGATGTTGTTAACTAAATGTTAAATACTAAGCCTCGAGAGTTGAATTACTGAATCAATGCTCCGCATTATCGAATCAACCAGTTGAAATATTGAATCAATGCGCTGCACTATCGAATCAACCAGTTGAAATATTGAATCAATGCGCCGCACTATCGAATCAACCAGTTGAAATATTGAATCAATGCGCCGCACTATCGAATCAACCAGTTGAAATATTGAATCAATGCGCCGCACTATGGAATCAACCAGTTGAAATACTGAATCAATGCGCCGCACTATTGAATGAACCAGTTAAAATATTGAACAATCGAATCAACCAGTTAAAATACTGAATCAATGCGCCGCACTATGGAATCAACCAATTGAAATACTGAATCAATGCGCCGCACTATCGAATCAACCAGTTAAAATATTGAATCAATGCGCCGCACTATGGAATCAACCAGTTAAAATATTGAAACAATGCGCCGCACTTTCGAATCAACCAGTTGAAATACTGAATCAATGCGCTGCACTATGGAATCAACCAATTGAAATACTGAATCAATGCGCCGCACTATGGAATCAACCAGTTAAAATATTGAATCAATGCGTCGCACTATGGAATCAACCAATTGAAATACTGAATCAATGCGCCGTACTATGGAATCAACCAATTGAAATATTGAATCAATGCGCCGCACTATCGAATCAACCAGTTGAAATACTGAATCTATGCGCCGCACTATCGAATCAACCAGTTGAAATACTGAAACAATGCGCCGCACTATCGAATCAACCAGTTAAAATATTGAATCAATGCGCCGCACTATCGAATCAACCAATTGAAATACTGAATCAATGCGCCGCACTATGGAATCAACCAATTGAAATATTGAATCAATGCGCCGCACTATCGAATCAACCAATTGAAATACTGAATCAATGCGCCTCACTATGGAATCAACCAATTGAAATACTGAATCAATGCGCCGCACTATGGAATTAACCAGTTAAAATATTGAATCAATGCGCCGCACTATCGAATCAACCAATTGAAATATTGAATCAATGCGCCGCACTATGGAATCAACCAATTGAAATATTGAATCAATGCGCCGCACTATCGAATCAACCAGTTAAAATATTGAATCAATGCGCCGCACTATCGAATCAACCAGTTAAAAAATTGAATCAATGCGCCGCACTATGGAATCAACCAATTGAAATATTGAATCAATGCGCCGCACTATGGAATCAACCAATTGAAATACTGAATCAATGCGTCGCACTATCGAATCAACCAGTTGAAATATTGAATCAATGCGCCGCACTATGGAATCAACCAGTTGAAATACTGAATCAATGCGCCGCACTATGGAATCAACCAGTTAAAATATTGAATCAATGCGCCGCACTATCGAATCAACCAGTTAAAATACTGAATCAATGCGCTGCATTATCGAATCAACCAATTGAAATACTGAATCAATTCGCCGCACTATGGAATCAACCAGTTGAAATACAAATCCAGTTGAATCAATGCGCCGCACTATGGAATCAACCAGTTGAAATATTGAATCAATGCGCCGTACTATGGAATCAACCAGTTAAAAATATTGAATCAATGCCGCACTATGGAATCAACCAATTAAAAATATTGAATCAATGCGCCGTACTATGGAATCAACCAATTGAAATACTGAATCAATGCGCCGCACTATGGAATCAACCAGTTGAAATATTGAATCAATGCGCCGCACTATGGAATCAACCAATTGAAATATTGAATCAATGCGCCGCACTATGGAATCAACCAATTGAAATATTGAATCAATGCGCCGTACTATGGAATCAACCAGTTGAAATATTGAATCAATGCGCCGCACTATGGAATCAACCAATTGAAATATTGAATCAATGCGCCGCACTATGGAATCAACCAATTGAAATACTGAATCAATGCGCCGTACTATGGAATCAACCAGTTGAAATATTGAATCAATGCGCCGCACTATGGAATCAACCAGTTAAAATACTGAATCAATGCGCCGCACTATGGAATCAACCAGTTGAAATACTGAATCAATGCGCCGCACTATGGAATCAACCAGTTGAAATACTGAATCAATGCGCCGTACTATGGAATCAACCAGTTGAAATACTGAATCAATGCGCCGCACTATGGAATCAACCAGTTGAAATACTGAATCAATGCATCGCACTATCGAATCAACCAGTTGAAATACTGAATCAATGCGCCGTACTATGGAATCAACCAGTTGAAATACTGAATCAATTCGCCGCACTATGGAATCAACCAGTTGAAATACTGAATCAATGCGCCGTACTATGGAATCAACCAGTTGAAATATTGAATCAATGCGCCCGCACTATGGAATCAACCAATTTAAAATACTGAATCAATGCGCCGTACTATGGAATCAACCAGTTGAAATATTGAATCAATGCGCCGTACTATGGAATCAACCAGTTAAAATATTGAATCAATGCGCCGTACTATGGAATCAACCAGTTGAAAATGTATTGAATCAATGTAATACTGAGACCGCACGTACTATGGAATCAACCAATTGAAATATTGAATCAATGCGCCGTACTATGGAATCAACCAGTTAAAATATTGAATCAATGCGCCGCACTATGGAATCAACCAGTTGAAATATTGAATCAATGCGCGCCGCACTATGGAATCAACCAATTGAAATACTGAATCAATGCGCCGTACTATGGAATCAACCAATTGAAATATTGAATCAATGCGCCGCACTATGGAATCAACCAGTTGAAATACTGAATCAATCGCCGCACTATGGAATCAACCAATTGAAATATTGAATCAAATGCGCCGCACTATCGAATCAACCAGTTGAAATACTGAATCAATGCGCCGCACTATGGAATCAACCAATTGAAATACTGAATCAATGCGCCAACTATGGAATCAACCAGTTGAAATATTGAATCAATGCGCCGCACTATGGAATCAACCAATTGAAATACTGAATCAATGCGCCGCACTATGGAATCAACCAGTTGAAATACTGAATCAATGCGCCGCACTATCGAATCAACCAATTGAAATATTGAATCAATGCGCCGCACTATGGAATCAACCAATTGAAATATTGAATCAATGCGCCGCACTATGGAATCAACCAATTGAAATATTGAATCAATGCGCCGCACTATGGAATCAACCAGTTGAAATATTGAATCAATGCGCCGCACTATGGAATCAACCAGTTGAAATATTGAATCAATGCGCCGCACTATGGAATCAACCAGTTAAAATACTGAATCAATGCGCCGCACTATGGAATCAACCAGTTGAAATATTGAATCAATGCGCCGCACTATGGAATCAACCAATTGAAATATTGAATCAATGCGCCGCACTATGGAATCAACCAGTTTAGAAAAATATTGAATCAATTCGCCGCACTATGGAATCAACCAAGTTGAAATACTGAATCAATGCGCCGCACTATGGAATCAACCAGTTGAAATACTGAATCAATGCGCCGTACTATGGAATCAACCAGTTGAAATACTGAATCAATGCGCACGCGTACTATGGAATCAACCAGTTGAAATACTGAATCAATGCGCCGCACTATGGAATCAACCAGTTGAAATATTGAATCAATGCGCCGCACTATGGAATCAACCAGTTGAAATATTGAATCAATGCGCCGCACTATCGAATCAACCAGTTGAAATACTGAATCAATGCGCCGCACTATGGAATCAACCAATTGAAATACTGAATCAATGCGCCGCACTATGGAATCAACCAGTTGAAATACTGAATCAATGCGCCGCACTATGGAATCAACCAATTGAAATACTGAATCAATGCGCCGCACTATCGAATCAACCAGTTGAAATACTGAATCAATGCGCCGCACTATCGAATCAACCAGTTGAAATATTGAATCAATGCGCCGCACTATCGAATCAACCAATTGAAATACTGAATCAATGCGCCGCACTATGGAATCAACCAGTTGAAATACTGAATCAATGCGCCGCACTATGGAATCAACCAGTTGAAATACTGAATCAATGCGCCGCACTATTGAATCAACCAGTTGAAATACTGAATCAATGCGCCGTACTATGGAATCAACCAATTGAAATACTGAAACAATTCGCCGTACTATGGAATCAACCAATTGAAATACTGAAACAATGCGCCGTACTATGGAATCAACCAATTGAAATACTGAAACAATGCGCCGTACTATGGAATCAACCAATTGAAATACTGAAACAATGCGCCGTACTATGGAATCAACCAATTGAAATACTGAAACAATTCGCCGTACTATGGAATCAACCAATTGAAATACTGAAACAATGCGCCGTACTA